CTTTTGAACAGGAATTCAGAGTTATTGTGTCCGATTTCAAATGCAAGCCAGCAGTCAATATGTATTTTTTTTTAAACCAACGAACAAGTTTTCGGAACCGTTAAATGAACTCATAGTACATTATTTTTGGTATTCAGGTTCAAATACGATGTGACAACACATCAGATGTTATCGTCTGTGTTGCAGGTTTCAGGAATCCGGCGAACGACAAGAAAATTAATTTGGGCTCAATCAATTCATTAGTACAGTACCAGGAATTGAAAAAAAAATGTATCATAGAGTTACACAAAAACCACTTCGAGGCTTGGCAATTTAAATTCCTTATATGCTGTACAGCAATGAATTGAATGTTGATGCAGAATTTCACGGGAAATTCATAAAATACGGCGATGACAAAATATTCTTTGGTATCTTAGAAGGCACTTTCAGTTTTTCTTTTCTTTGGGACGCACATTTCCCACGATTCAGTAATAGCATAGGTCGTCATCATCAATGATGTGCAGCGTAGAAGACTGCTGCATACGAAAGCATTACACTTGACTTTTCCTGATTTCAGTAATTCCATCACTTTAAAATTTTAAATTACAGTATATTCATCTAAAAGAATAGACAGTACTTGAAATATTCACGTGTTTAATGTTTCAAACACTTGAGCATTCCAAGTACCGTATTTGTATTTAATTCATCAGATTAAAATACAGAGGAGATGATGAATTAAAAATAAAAGAAAGCAGTACTGTACTGTACAAGAAGAAGAAAAACAAGAAGAAGAAGAAGGCAACCCACCAGTGCCAGGGAAGCCAGGATGTGGCGGCAACTTGAGCCCGAGTCCCGGGGGAAAGAGATCGGGGCGGAGACGCAGTGCTTCGAGGTCGCCGCGCAGATGGGCCGCAGCCGCCCAATGCGGGTCCCAAAACGGCGGCCGGTGTCCGAAAGCCAGAGCCCGGAAGTGCTGCTGTTGTCCTGCAAAGCCAAGAAAAGAGAAAAAAAGAAAGCCTCGAATGAGTACATCATCTAGGCCAGGGAATACAATGTGCATACGAGTATACAGTTCGGGGATTTCAAGCCGCCGCCGGAAACCGGATCCATTCACCGCCAAAGCAATTCATTTACGACTCGACCACCGCAGAACGGTACCAATTTGGCAACCAGCACCACACACACACACACACGCACGACTTTTTTTGTTTCTCTTAAATTAAATTTCTCCCTCCGTCTTTTCAATGGGCACTGCAGTAAAATGTTTTACTGCGGTCGTTCAGCCACACTTTACAGCGTTCGTCACAACTCCGTCTCGTGGAATTATTTTTTCTTCCCCGTTTATTCTTTATTTTTCTCCCTCCGAGTGTGTGTGTGTGTGTGTGTCTTTGGGTCCAAGGTTTCTTTTATCAAGGGGACGGAATCGACCACCGGAAATCGCAGGAAGCGCGTCATCGGGTTTCCAGGATACAAATGTCCAACATTAGGGTTGTTTTCGTGCCCGAAATTTTCTTCTGCTGGACGGGTATCATGAGCCTTTCGAGGACAGCGTCCACTATTTTTTTTTCTCCCGCTTGACTGGAAATTTAACTCTTTCCTTGGATTTTGGAGTGACGGAACATGCTGTCCCTTACTTGACGTATTTTACGCGTAAGGGGGTTTTTTTTGTTAACGAAACTGTTCGAGAGACAACATGGCCGAATAATTGATTCCCCCCAAATATCGGCCGCAGAAAAAGACCAAAATGCGTATTAGAGCCTTGGGAGGGAAAAATTCGTTCGAACGTGTCACAATTAATCAAACGAAGTTCGCTTTCGAACACTCCGGGGACGAAAAAATCCTGCGATTAAGTGTTTAGATTTAGACTAATTTTCGATGATTTATTGAGTAATTCGCGAGAGACTCGGACCGAGAAATGTTGATGGAAAAGACGAGAGGAATGCTTGCATGTCATTTCCTCTCCCCATTCTGACGCAGGTTGCGATACAATTGCGAAGATAAAACGAATATTGATTCCTGTACAACAAAAATTGAGACTGCGCATAATCAACAAATTCATGCGTTTTTCCCGTGAAGACATTTCTGAGGCGCAATTTTTCCAGACCGTAAAAATTTAGTCAGGTCTTCTGATCCTAGGAACGAGCGGAGCCATATTTATTTTCTTATTAACGTGTCTTCTACATCTTGTTGAACACTCGAAACATCATCCACTTTATCGTTTTCCGTGTATATTGAGAAACAACTACAGTAATAGAATCCCATCCTCGTTCACGTCGTTCGTTTGCTAAATCCTCAGGAACACGCAGGGGCATCTCCGTCTAGTTTCCCCCTGGGTAATTATCGTCAAGAAGACGAACCCATAAAGAGGGGGGGGGGGCTGTTTTTCTTCTTCTTCTTCTTGTGCTGTTCCCCCGAAAACCCCCACACGCACACACATGGCGTGGGAAACAAAGCCAGAGGGGAGGAAAACCCAACCCGAACCCGAACTTCCTCGACGTGGGATTCGTCGTCACTCGGGCTCATCTGCTCGTCGTCGTCGTCGGTGTTGTCATACACACAAACACATTACCCTAACCCCCCCTTCCCTCCATCTGCCCCACAGGGTTCTGGTCTGGGAAAAAATGGCGGTCGAACCCCGTTTTGTTCTCCTCGGCTTTTCTCATAATGCACCCGTTTGTGAAACGATTCTCCGGAAAGTCGGACAATAATTTTACAGCATTTCAGAATCTGTCCCCCAATATTTATTACATACAGTATATCCGGATTGTAGGCAGTCTTTGTGTCAAATTTTCTCGATTGTATCCCGAAAAAATAAGCGTCATCATGCAGACCCATAATGTTTTTCTCGACAATAAAAAGATGAACCCCTTCAACATATGAAGTTGCATATGCAGTACGATTGTTTTTTTTTCAATAAGAAGAAATTCCTTCCATTTAATCAATGTAGAAAACACATTGATAATACGGTAATACGAAAACAAATGTCTCCGCTCCTTTCTACGATTGTAAGACCTTGCTGCATTTTTTTGGGCTTGAAACAAAATTGCGCCTTGAATATGCCCCGAAATCAAGACCGTAGATATTCGTCACTAATTATGCACAGTGTCAATCGGAATTGAGTGCAACACTGTAATTGAATCCAAAATTACCAAAATTGCAAATCTTCTCTCCTGTGCTCATTTTCCGAAACATTCAAAGAAATGCTTCCGTATAATTGAGGAGATTCACTCCTGTAGCAGGTGATGCCAAGACTAGTCGTTGTTCATTGAAGAAATAGGGATTTCATTTCAAAAACTGCCGAACACAGTCTGTGACAGTGAATTTCACGATGAGGAAGAGTTTCGTTTTCCAAGAAAAGCTTCACGATTATACTTGGCATTGTATAAAAATTAAAAGGGATTCAGAGAGCTCACCAGAATGGTTATTGAAAAGACGCTTTTGAATAATTGTTGTTTGCAGTTCAGCTCTGGATCGAAGGAAAAGCCCAGTCAGCCAATGGGAAAGCAGAGAGAAAAGGCGGCGATTCTCTCGCCAATTTTAACTTTATTTTGTTCGCTCTCATTTCGAGGCTGTTCTTTTCATGATTCCTCGCACATATTTATGCACGTACACGTGCGGCTCATCTCGACGCTGACAGATTTATCCCAGAACGCGGGCTGGAGTCTTGAGGGAAAGGGGATGGAAGCAGAAGAAGAACAAGAAGAAGAAAATAGAGAGGGAGAAGGAGAAGGAGAGAGAGAGAGAGAGAAATAGCAGGCAGGCAGACCGAGACCGACACCGACGAAGACGTCGTCGCCGGTGTCGACGTCGGCACGACGGGCTTTTGATCTCGCGCCCACCCGCACAAACACATAAAAGCCTCCCCACCTGGCCTCGACACTGCCAAACAATCTCTTTCCAGAGCCAACACACAAGGGGATCCTTCTTCTTCTTCTGCTTCTTCCCTTTTTCTTATAATCCTTATAATGGTCTTCATGCCCATTTCCTTTTTATTCTTCTTCTTCTTCTTCTTCTTCCGCTCGGCGGACATCACCTATCCCTCACTATACTCAGCCGCAGCTAGCTACGGAAATAACCCGAAAAACCCGGGTAACTTGGACACATGAACGAGCATGATGTGTGTCTTCTTTTCTGCAACGCTTTCCGTATCCGTTGAAATGCAGTCTTCAAGAAATTTCCAATAATTTTGTTTTCCCCCATTTAAATAAATTAATTATGTACGTTACCGCCCGCCAGGTGTATATTCGCTGACTATTCTCCAAAAACAAATTGACATTTCGCGAAACACAAAAAGGGTTTGTTTTGATGAGGCAAAAATAGAATGTTCTCAATCGGCAACTTGATTGACCTGTTGATTTAATTTCCAGCATTATTGCTCATTTTGAAATATTTCGTTCATCGTGTGGATGCTGGAGTGATTTATTTTGCGCGCGCCATGTTTCCTATAGTGAGTGTTTGCTCATACGTCACGTCACCCCTCTTGCGTTTTCACCGCTTCGACTATACAGATATTTTATTTTTCGCATCTGGTTTCACGAGAAACGGTTCATCTTGGGATACAGAACGGAGTCACGTCAAGGAGAAACCAGATGGCTGCTGATGGTCCTCTCACCCAATCCGTTGCGCAGCATTAACAGATCCCAGTAGCAAATGTATAAACCTCCGTGTATTGCAAAAATAAATCGACAAGATGCACATCGATTTTTCTCTCAAGGATCCATCAGAAGAAATCCTCCCCTAACCCGAAAAAAAAAAACCTGCCGAAACTTCCGGCGGGTGCGGTGATGGGGGCGAGGATTTCGAGAACAGTATTTAAGACACACAAGCCCGGGAAAACCCCCCTCCCCCTCTCACACGCGAAAATGACGCCATGCTCTCGACGCAACCGTCGACAGGGAAAATGGCGCTAATTATCCCCACGTCCGACATTCGGTTTATTAATGATGCTTCGTCGTCGTCGTCGTCGTCGACGGGGCGTGAAAGCGAGAGGAATAAATGACGGCCGACTACTGAGCAGTTATTTACGCATGCAGAAAAACTATAAACTGGAGACGAATGAATGAAAAGAAAGTCGCCGTCAACTTTGGCAACTCACTCGTCTTACTTCTCGGCTCCCTAGGTCCGTCCACGGTCACCTTGATCGCTTTCATGTACGTCGTCAGCATCGGCGGACTCGTTTGAATGCATATCGACAAGTTGAAGCTTTTTCCTGCCGAAATCAAAAGGTAAACACAAGAGAGAAAGATGCATAAGAAAGTTGGAAACCTTTTTTTTTTTTTTTTCTCTCCACACGACTTCCCAACGGGTGGTCTCTTGCCTCGAACCGAAAAGGCGAGAGAGGAAGAATCAAAAAAAAGTTGCGGGCCCCAAGCGATTACGAGGGGCTTCTCAAAAGCACCACACACTCCTATTGGTCCTTCTTCCGAAAACATTCAACTCGAGTGAATTTCGTGATCATGCAGTTTTTGATGCAATAGGGGAATTTATGTTTGTCGCATAATAATGCAATGCGTTTTGGAAATCAGCGCGTTTGTAGCCAGGTTTCTTGATTCGAGAAGTTCTGTGCTGACAAAATGAAAATTAATCATTTAGCAAAGGTCCGAATGAGAGTTGGAGTTGCATTGTTTTCAAAGAGTAAAATAACTTTTTCTTTTTTTGGGTGACGCACTACTTGATGACAGATATAGAATGTTGATTTTCATTTGCACAATATTTTCGCTTAAATTGTCTTGAACAACGCGCTACGAAATTTAATTTATCAGCCATTTTGTGGCAAATGCAAACCAGTCCAAGTCATCATTAAGGTTATCAGCGTTTCGAAACTGCTGCATCATTATAGAATCATACTCGTCTTCCTTTTTTCACACAACTATTGCATGAACATCAAGGTCATCATTACTTTAAAACGATTTTCGCATATTCGATGAAATATAATATAATACTGTATTGCAATGCAATAAAGTATACCACTCGTAAAAAAAATGCATATAAGGAACAACAGGAGGAGGAATGACTGACCTCGTCCACTGCGGCCCACGAAGCGCAAGTCGTTGAACTTGGCCACATTGCCCTTGAACACGGACGTGGCATTCCTCAACTCGGCACACGGGTTCTCGTCATTTCCGGCTCTCAGCACCACCACGGTGCCGTCGGGCACGTCGCAGAGACTCACGAGCTTGAATGCCACCGGCAGTGTTTTGTTGGAGCGCCAGTGATTCGGCAACACTGAGCACAGCAAATTCGGACTGGCCGTGCGCATCAGGTCACCGGGATGCTCGGCCAAGATCTCCTTCAGGGCCTGGTCAGCCAACAGGTACTCTGGAGACGCACCCGCATACCCGAGCTGCACCGCAGGTGCCGTAGCCGTGGTGGTGGTGGTGCTATTGGTATCGTTGTTGTTGGTGGTGGTGGGGGTGGTCGTCTTCGTCGTGGTTGTGGAGCCGGACGCCGCGGAAGAAGGCGTGGTGGCTGTCGCTGCAGTGGAGCTGGTCTCCGACGAAGGACTCGTGCTGCCGCCACGTTGGTGGTGGTGGTGGTGGTGGTGGTTGAAGGGATGGTGAGTGCGATGGTTGTTGTGGTGGTGGTGGTGGTGATTATGATGATGATGATGGTTGTGGCGGTTGTTGTTGTCGGAATGACTGCTGGTAGTCGACGGCAGCGTCGGGGGCTCGGGTTCGACGAGGACGATGGGCTTCAGTCGCGAAGCTGCGGCCAATGATGGTGTCGATGCCAATGCTGCTGCTGCTGCTGATGATGATGATGATGATGTCGGCGGCATTGATGACGAGAAACGCAACATGGCGTCACGCGAAGAAGCTGCCGGCGGTGGGGAAGACGGTAACGGCCGTGGCGGATTCGGCGCCACCACGTGCATGTCGCCGATTTATTTCACGCACTTACGACAATAATAAGAGAGATCTTCTCACCAACATTTTTTTATTCCCGGGGATTTTCAGAAGAGAGAGAGAGACAGAGATTAATATGATTTCATCATGAATGCGAACAGCGAATTTCAAAAATTGAGAATTACACATGACGGAACAGAAAAAAAATATATGATTTCGGAAAGTAATTACGAGGGGAGAAGCAACTTGAATTGGTTTCCCATCGATAATGCGTTCATCCAAAATTACATCTGATATTTCCAAGGAAAAGCTTAAATCTGGAGATTCATCTACTTTTATTTCGTCTGGGAAAAGAATTGCAACATCGATTCCGAGCAAGACAAGTTATTCGGGAAACTGGGCGAAGTTTCCCGTCCACGTGCAAACAACATCGGCGTGGATGAAGATCATCTAATATTTCCGGTTGAATTGCCTCTCTTTTGTTCCCAAAGATCAGTTCATTTCACCATTCAGCATTGTTTATAACTACTGCAGGTGAGACCATTTACTGGTATGATCCAAAATTGTCCACCAAAAAAAGGACAAAGACAACAACAAAGAGACAAGTAATTTCAAAATTCTTAGGACCCAGATCATTCTTTCCTGAACTCAAGAAATTTTTGCATCTGTAGAAAATTCGAGTTCACATACACTACATCAAGATTTTCCTCTCTATTCAGCATTGCACTGAAAATCGCACGTGAGAGAACAATATTTTACTTGTTGATTCTTTGTTGCTTCCGAGGAAAATGGGTGTAAAAAAAATTGAAAACACGCGGTTACTTCTACATTGAACAAAAAGGGATAAGCTTTAATGCACAGAGATTTTTTTCGCTCACATACTGGAACAGAATTCCAACTATTTGTCAAAATTCTCTCCGACCAATGCGCCGAATTACAAACTCAAGCATAACATCTCACAGGAACCATGCCAGCGAAGTAAATTTTTCAATTTCGGCTCATCTTCTCGTATTTCTATGATTTTAAGCATTCCAGAAGGAAATCTTTCAAAATTTCAGAAGTAAATGCAACCGGAGGCGTTTTACACATTTATTCCCACCCGAACTGGAAACCTCGTCACTTCCCTCGCTACTTTCCGAATACCCGCGATATTTAACCCCATTCAACATGAATTTCAAGCAGGGACTTGGAGTAGAGCTGGAGCCGAGCGTTTTTAGCGAGAGTGGAGTGGAGCTCAGAAGCATGCAGAAAATTTTGGCTGCTCCGAGCTCCGAGCCTAAGATAAAATTTGAAAAGTTGGGGGAAAACCCCCAGGAAAATGAGTCTTGTTTGGTCGGCACCAGTCAACAAAACTGCCTTCCATCCAAGGAAGTCCTCTCAATCTTAGAATACTCCTCCCCTTTGTAGCTTAAATCTGGTTATCCTGTATCCATTTCTTTTACAAAAGGATGCCAAAGATGTAGACGTGTGTGTGTGTGCTATGCAAGGACCCAATGCTTCACTACTAGCATTCATTAATAGATGATGCTTGAAAAGTGGCTCTATTTGTGAGATATTCACGGATATCAAATGAAGCAATTTGGAAAGTTGGGAAAAACCCTCTGCTACATATGGTTGTTTGGCTGATGCCTGCCAACGAAAGTCCTTTCCAGATAAGTCTTTCAAATTTCAACCGGAAGCATGAATCTCCAGGTGCTCTACTAAAGAACACGTGGACACTTCACACTCTACACCGAAGGTTTTTGTCAGCACATGGAAAATTTTCTGCAGCATAAAAAGTAGCAATGCCGTCTGTAATCTTCATCTAAAAATTTGGAAAGACATTTACAGTTGAAATTATCCGGTGAAAAATAAAAGTTGGCTCTCCTAATGAGACTTCAAAGAATTGTCACCAGCTGGAATAATACATCTTAATTTTCTTTTCCAATTTGAAAAAAGAAACTTTCTTCAAGCTCACCTTCTTCATATTTGAAGACATTTCACTATAGCTGCTCCATCATGATTCTCAATGTTTGCAAAATAACAAAAGCTTTTTGAATGCATGCCATGAGGTCTAGCAAGAAAATGTTTTTCAAGTCTGTTACAATTTTGTGAAACTTCGCAGTCCGCAAAATATGTCTGGGAAATTTGAAAAAAATGCTTGTTGGTGAGCCCAAGAAATTTGGGGAATACTGCTCCAAATAACAAAAATTCCACCGGCCAGAAATTTTTTTAGAGAACCTCTATGAAATAAATTCATGATGTTTAAAATTTCTATATTTTACCTTCATGTTTAGGTTCATGTTTAGGTTGGAGCTTCCAATTTTGTGCCAATTCTTAAAATTGTGTATTGCCTATACACTTTACACATATAATCAAAGCAAAAATTCATTACACTTTACTGAGATTATTGATTTAAATCAGGTTGTAAAAATAACATTTTCACATCGTATGGTTCCTACGGAAAACTGTTGGGCCAAAAAAATTTTTCATAAAAAGATCCACTGTAAATGAATTTTACTGTAGAAGTTAGTATAGTACTGTACTGAAAACTGAAAAAATGTCTGGAGCACTGGAGCAGGTACTTGTGTCCGGAGAAGAGCAAACATTTTTTATAACGCTACTCCAAGTCCCTGATTACAAGCACAACGCAGAATTGCACACCGGAACGATACTTGACAGTTGAAATGACAAATTTGCAACTTCATCACTACCCGCAATCTTCCCTCGCCTTCGCGACTTCTTTCCGCGCTTTCTTTTACCTAGGTGGAAAAAATGCTTCACAAATTGTCAAGAATTTAGTTCAGTATATATAACCACTCATTCGCGATTTTTTTCTTTTTTTTTTCTTCAAACACAAATGAATATACAGTACTTTGTATCCCGTAACGAGACTCAGGTTTTGTCCACCAGAAAATCACGAGGGAGAATCAAGCAACAGTCACAATGATACGAACCGGGACAATCACGCCGTCGGGCGGGACCGCGACTGTGCCACTGTGCCAATGTGCGGGCCGGACTGCGGCCGAGCGGGGACTGAGGCGGGTGTCGAGCCCGGGTTCGGGTGTTGTCGCCCACCGCAGCGGAACCGGTGTTCGGTTCGCCTCAGGCCTCAAGCACACCGAGGAGGGCCTGGCCGACAGAACCCGCAGCGTGTCGCCACCACCACCATCACCACCACCACCACCGCCGCCCGCCGCCGCCGTCGCCGCGCTGCCGGCACCACCGCCCCTCTTCCACCTTCTGCTGCCCGAGAGAGAAAGGACAGGCACTTGGGGTCCCAGGAAGAGAAGGCCTGCTTTCCCTCCAACACCATCACCACCCTCCCCGCCTCGTCTCGCACGCGGTTCAAATCGGAGAGGGACGTCCGTTTTCGGGTTGACGCAAGGAGGAAATGAAAAGGAGAGAAACCAAGAAGACCTGCTGGCGGACGGGATGTTTTGTACAGAACAGTATACTCACTCCTTTTGCAGACAAGGATGCGCAGTGGGAGAGACTTGGCAAAGGATCCACAAACCTGTCTCTGTCATTGTGTCCTATTCCTATGGCGATACTATACAGCTTCTGTACCCTACACGTACAGTACAGTACAGTATTCGATGGTGTAGCATATGCCCCGTTGAAATACACACCCCTTGATGTTCAGAAGGTGTAGCTCTGTTTCATTGGTCCAAAGTACAGTAATGTTTTCCTTGTCTTATTTTTAGAGGATTACTGCAGTGAGCATGTAATGCATCAAGGAAACAAATTTTCCCAATCTATCCTTTGACAAAAGTGGATCATATGCTGTGCACAACAGTACCTTCAATTTTGAAACAGATCTTTGCCATTATTGGATGATTGGAAAAGTCCAACAAAAAGTGAAACTACAATTGACTAGATCAATCCGCTCAAAAAAACACAATAATGACTTTTGGCTACAAAAAAAGTTTACTCAACTGCTTGGATTCAGTACCTCGATTTAGTTCAATGCTGGAAAAATTCATTTTTCAGTATTCTAGGGTCATTAGAAACAGCGAATTTCACACATGGAAGCAGACTCTTTCAAAAATGTTTGTGAAAAAGGCTTCTTCAAACTGACAGTAGCATTTTTTGGCACAAGAAAAAATATTTCATAAGTCAAAGAGGAAATGTATTTACTTTGAAATATATTTTATTCTTCCAAAAGTTCACCTCAAACATGGACATCCAAGAATGAATACTGCAAACATGACCTCCTTCAGAACTCCTTTGGAAAACCTTTTACAATTACATTTTTTGAATTAGAACATGGTCATCTTGGTTGATTGGTTGAGCTTCAACCTTCTATGATTCTATTGACATTGAAACCATTGTGGACAATTTCAAGCTATTTCTATAAAGGCAAACACTGTTTTCATTTCTCGCAAGTCCATATAGCAATTGATTATTTTCCTTCAGTTGGAAAAATGAATAAATATTGTCTACTGCGATGAGCAGCGAAATTCGACGGGATGACGGCGTAGGTTTGAAGACCCCCTCGTGGCCCGCGCACGCTGGGGAGCAATGGATGGGGCGCAAAGAAGGAGGGACGCAGGGAGGGGGATCTACGCCCCGCCCCGCGGTGTTCTCTAGGCGCGGCCGCAGGGTCGAGAGCCATTGGCTTCCCGCCCCTGCCAACCATGAGGCACGCCGCGGCCAGCCCGCAGGCCCGCGGTCTACACCCAACACACCGCACCTCGTGGGGTGAGCTCAGGGCCAGCCTGCTGGGGCAAGAGGCGCCTTCGTGGATGAACAAGTTTGGCGCCCTTTCGAAATGAAAAGAAAAATTAAATGCTAGCAATTGAAATAGTATGGAATAATCAAAGAGGGTTCAATGTTCTATACTTGATAACTACATTGCCCATTAATACTGTATACCACCCTGTATATACTAAGCACATCATAGGAGCAAGGCAAACAAATTGATTATTCAAGCTGTACAGAGATTAATGGGAAAATTTAGTAGTTTTCAGAACAGTATTTCATCACATGCTTCCTATGGAAAACTGCTGGAACATGGAAAAATTCCTATAGGGTAATGGAAGAATTTTGTAACAAAAAATTTTCAACAGAATTTTTCTGAAATTTCTGTTCTAAAAAAATAATGGGACCCTCAAAGTTTGTCACAACAAAATCTGCATTGCATATGTTCTTTTTGTTATTTGAGTTGTACATTTTTGGTCACAATGAGTTGATAACTTTGTTTTCAACTAGAGCAATTTCTGTTCTGAATATTCATATTCATTATTCTGAAGACCAATTCACTTTCTAAGGAAGATAATTTTTTGCATTAAAAAGTGGGGTTCATGACTGCTTGCATTAATTTTTTTTCTGTGTTTTTGCTGCCCAGAATAATTTGTGTGCACTTGCTTCACTTTTTCATCATGAAATAGCAAGCAAAAGTTAGTACTGTATTATATGAAGTCAAGCTGTGTCAGAGTGGACATTCAAGTACTGTAAAATTGAATGTTTTCACAATTTGAACCCATTGGGACTAGTTACATTGCTTTTTTGTTAAAAAAAAAAGTTATAAAGCATATCATTTGAAATTGTGGCTAGTATGTCCAAGAGACCCAAACCCCACTTTTTTTAAAGTAATTTCTTGTCAAAACAAGATTTGTTGCAACAAGATTCTTCTAATACAAAAGAAAAAATGGCCCTTTTTCTATTTTATGGATTCTATTTTATATTTGTGGAATTCCGAGTTGGTCTCACGTTTGGAAACAGGCCACAAAGAGTACAGTATAAAAGTAATTTTATAGATCCCATACTGGACTTATTTCAAAATTGCATCATCATTCATGATTTGCTCGTGGCCAGCCCGCAGGCCCGCGGTCTACACCCAACACACCGCACCTCGTGGGGTGAGCTCAGGGCCAGCCTGCTGGGGCAAGAGGCGCCTTCGTGGATGAACAAGTTTGGCGCCCTTTCGAAATGAAAAAAAGTTAAAGGCTAGCAGTTGAAATAGTATGGAGTAATCAAAGAGGGTTCAATGTTCTATACTTGATAACTACATTGCCCATTAATACTGTATATACCACCCTGTATACTACGCACATCATAGAAGCAAGGCCAAAAAATTGATTATTCAAGCTGTAAAGAGATTACAGGGAAAATTTAGTAGTTTTCAGAACAGTATTTCATCACATGCTTCCTATATGGAAAACTGCTGGAACATAGAAAAATTCCTATAGGGTAATGGAAGAATACTGTAACAAAATTTTTTAAACAGAATTTTTCTTTAAGTTCTGTTCTAAAAAAAATAATGGGACCCTCAAAGTTTGTCACAACAAAATCTACATTGCATACGTTTTTTTTTGTAATTTGAGTTGAACATTTTTGGTCAACATGAGTTGATAACTTTGTTTTCAACTAGTGCAATTTCTGTTTTGAATATTCATATTCATTATTCTGAAGACCAATTCACTTTCTCAGGAAGATAATTTTTTGCATTAAAAAGTGGGGTTCATGACTGCTTGCATTAATTTTTTTCTGTGTTTTTGCTGCCCAGAATAATTTGTGTGCACTTGCTTCACTTTTTCATCATGAAATAGCAAGCAAAAGTTAGTACTGTATTATATGAAGTCAAGCTGTGTCAGAGTGGACATTCAAGTACTGTAAAATTGAATTTTTCACAATTTGAACCCATTGGGACTAGTTACACTGCTTTTTTGTTAAAAAAAAAGTTATAAAGCATATCATTTAAAATTGTGGCTAGTATGTCCAAGAGACCCAAACCCCACTTTTTTTAAAGTAATTTCTTGTCAAAACAAGATTTGTTGCAACAAGATTCTACTAATACAAAAGAAAAAATGGCCCTTTTTCTATTTTCAGCAGTTGAAAACCTCAGATGAAATTTTCTGACTCTTCTTCCAAAAAATTGACTTGAATGCCATCTGACAGAGGAGCGAAGTGCAATAAAATAAAATTTTGAAGTTAATAATATAAATTGCTTTTTGCTTGTTTGTTATTTCTGCCCTCTCACTCATCAACTTTTATGGCAATGCTGTTGAATGAAATAGAGAAGAAAATTACATATCACAATTATTCTGTGTTACAGTTGAGCATGAGAAAAATTTCAAGAGAAGCATTACTTTCTTTACAAAGGGATCAGGAGATCATGTTTGAGATTTTGCCAGTCAATCTTAAATCCTGGTCACAGTGACCTCCCCGGCTTTGAGCCCACAACAAAATACATTCTGCAGCCAGGGAATAACAAAGTTTCAGGGTAAAGGTTGGGATTATGTTAGGTCACCCTTACCACACACCTTCCTTCTTTCCTGGCAGTGGACCACGGTTCCAAGAACCAAGATTCCAAGAACATGACCAGCAACAGGCAATGGCATCTTGGTGCTCCAAACATCAAGGGATCTCACCCCATGCATGGCAGGCAGGAGATTGGGGAGGCTTGCTACTGACCTGACTGGCAGTTGGATGGAGCAGCATTTGGCAACTGGCTGGTGTGCAACATTGGATTGCATGACTGGTGGCTAACCATTTAATTGAGGCCGAGTTTGTCGAGAGGCCTTTAGCTTATAAATTTCCTAGAAATATTAAAGAAACATGGCCCAAACCCCATTTTGGTGCTCTCTATGGTGGTGCCATTATGCCCTGAACAACCTGCACATATGATTGTCCAGCCCTGGTTGTGCCCACCTTCTCCACACAGCACACAATAAGCTACCTTCCTCATCTCATGCCAGCGTGGTCAACATCAACCTTTGTGGAAAATGAAAGGGTGCTTGGCAACACTTGGATACAGTAGATCTCTGATCATCTTATTGGACACATTTACATTATGGAAGATTTAAATCTGTGAATGACATTGCAGAATATACATTTTGTTACAAATTGGAATTTTTCATACACCGGGAATCTCGCCCCTTTGTGAAATTCTGTAATACCGATTGTGGTGATCACGCTGACTGAACAATTCAAAAAATAAAAATGAACCGTCAGTCATCCTCACATATTTGTGGAATTCCGAGTTGGTCTCACGTTTGGAAACAGGCCACAAAGAGTACAGTATAAAAGTAATTTTATAGATCCCATACTGGACTTATTTCAAAATTGCATCATCATTCATGATTTGCTCGTCCAATACTGGATACGTTATATATTTTTTCCTTGATTCCACAGCTTGTCAGTGCGACGTCGGAATCATATATGAGACTCGAGTTACGCATAGTTACTGAACAGTTTCCAATCATCAAAGAAAAACGTTTTGAAACCGTTGCGGGTATCGAATTGAGGATGATGATGGAAAGTATGGGGAAGGAATTGAATAGAGCTTCAGACTGAGTAATGAGAGAGACACACACACACACACACACACACACACATGCACTCAAACACCATCAACAACAACAAGAAGAAAAAATTGGAATAAAGTGAAAATAAAAAATAAATAAAAAAAATCTCGTCCGGTCGGCACCTTTTGGCGTGCTGATTATTCGGAAATGGAGACACACACACAAGTTCGGGAATGTTTCGAAGCCCACTGTGTTTGAAAATAAACGCATAATCCCGCTCATCAGCATCAACAAACACTGCGTTTTGCAGACACGCCGACACGGACCCTCTCTTTCTCTCGCAATCGGATTAACCCCCACTATACTCTACCGTACTCTTGTGTTCTGTACTTCCACCCCCCTTGCCAAAAAAAAAAAATTAAAAAACCTCTTCTCCTTATCATCCTTCTCCCATCACTGCCGCACGCATTCTTACATGTATTCATTCAATTCCGAGTTATCCATGTTTTTTTTTTTGCCAGAGGGCGTTCAATCACTTACCTGTTATGCTCTCTGCAAAATTTCTTTTCGAAAAGCACAGATTTTCCTGCAGAATTTAGATGATTTGATTATTTTTATCGTGCTGCTGTTGGAAGAATACAATTGGATTCTTCAAGCAGTTGAAGCACGGGAGGAATATCCTCAGCAGTGCTGAAAGCAATATATGAACATTGCAAAAACCTGCGAGAAAAGTTACATTAATACGTTTTCAATATTTTGCGCAGTAATAAACTACAATTTAAAAAAAATCTGTGATTGGATTCAAACATTTCATAAATGTGTACATTGTTTCATAGAGAAGTGTATTCAGGTTTGCTTTTCCTCTGTTTTATGGACCTTCATTTCTTGTTCACACCGCTCTGCACTTTGAAATAGTGAGAATGTTCGTAATATTTCATGCCTTTGCCGTGAGTCAAGATTGGAGGAGGATGGTTTTTGTCGCGGAAGAATGTTGAATTTAGGGCATCTTAAGAGCATTGGCACTTTTGCTACCTTCCAAAAAATAAATCAGGCAGTTTTGCTTTATTTTTTTCTACCGCCGAGAATCATCCCTATATACTTAGGAATGTGGAGCCTCGAAAAAAAAAAAAAAAAGGTTGCCGGTATGACGCTTCCGGCTTAGATCCAAGCAGGAAGCAGCAGCAGCAGCAGCACAGATCTATTCTAATTACAAGACGAAGCTCGAAAAGCAGGGGGTGCTGGAGTGCTAAAAAAAAAAGGAATGTGCGAGAGGAAAAAAAAAAAGAGAGGTCGTATATAGGAAGAAAAGGTGGAGGCAAATTCAGCGCGCTAATCCTGCCATGCAAAATACTGGTCTCTAGATGCGTTAATGAACAGCTCTCTCTCTCTCTCTCTCTGCTCCGCTCTTCCTATACATAATCCTCAAAAGCTTGGCCCCATTTTTTTTTGTTGCTGCTGCTTGAGTAATAGGTGTATCTCTTTTTTCTTCTTATTCTTTTTTATCAGAGAGAAAGAGAACTTTTGCGACGACAAACACATGCATGCATGGACCGGGGGTGGATGGGGAATAAGAGAATGAGCCACGCGTGACGAGGCTGCAGATACGCGGATTTCTCTTGCCATCAGGGATCATCAATTCAAGCATGCTTGAGGGAAGCGTTTTCGGCCCTTCCCCGAAAAAGGGGTGTTGTGACGCCTGTCTGCGATGCGTGAGTGTCGTGTCATGTCTCTCGAATAATGGCAACACACCAAAAAAAAATATGCATCAACGCCCGATTTCACTCCCGCAAACATTATCCAATATATTTGGGGACCGATAGCGACTGCTCTCAAGCCTAGCTCACACCACATCATATACAGATATGTACATATATACTGTACTGTGCACGATTTTCCTGTACAGGATGCATATACATATATACAGTAAAAAACCCGTTTTTTTTTTCAGAGTCACTCAGATGATACGGCACAGATCAGCATAAATACCGTCTCCGATTGTCATTCATAGCTATTATAGTGCACTCTTTGCTCCCGAAATATTCCCCAAAATGAAATGAAAATAACATGAGTCAAAATCGAATTGAAGCGGTTTCAAAATAAAAACAATAGAAAAATATTGACTGGTTTTCTTAGTAATATAGATAAATGTAATAGGAAAATGAATCTCATAACATCAGTCATTTTATTGTTGGATGGAAAGGTTTTTGCTTCTTATAAAAGAAGCCCCGCAACAAAAAAAAGGTTTGCTTTTTTATTCAGGAGTTTATCCGGGTTTGTTGGCAAAATATATGTATGAATAATACTTAAGGGTGAAAATTTATATTTTAAAATTGGCACGATTCGAATAATGAGTACTGGCGATGCGTTTATTCTTGGGTATATTTTGCTCCGGCATCTTTGGGAGACGGGTTTCCACTTTTTGAATCACTTTAACTGAAATGGTCACCTGGCATAGACGATTCGGTGCATATCTGCAATATTTTTCCTTCGAGACGGGGCGCAAAATTTCTAATAGGCCGCTTAGGCCGCTAAAACCCTCAACAACTTCGTAGTTCTGTCGAAAAGGTTGCCACCTTTAAGGCCTTCAAAAAAATTATGAAGAACAATTTATTCCTGAATGGAATGGTTCTCATTTTTCCATTTTACGAACTGCGGATGGGCATCTTGGAGATTTTATGAATATAACAATTTTGTTGGTTTCTTTCGATTAATTGTGCAATGAGCATTGCATGCGGTCCTTTTATTTAATTTCTTGATTTCTATAATGACACAAGTAACTCAGTCGTTGCTGTCTTTTCTTTATTATATCCTTTATAGTCTTAGAATCCTAAGAGGGAATTCAAAATTTTCACCATACTTACCAGTTTTCAGCTTTTTTTCAGCCATGGAAAAAAATAACCACAGTGTATACGAAAGAAGCAAGAAGGCCACCCAAGAAATCGTAATTTTTTTTCAACCAATCGATTTCATTCCCGCACTTTCCATCTGAATTTAATGACCGCGTAATTACAGCACATGAGACTGTAAAAAGTGCGAAGTACTGTTCGTGAATTTGCCAAAAGATTTCGCGCACAGACAGCTGATTCGGATTAAATCGCGGTTCCTATTTTCTGCCACTTTGGGTTGCTCTGATATTTTGGAATTGAGTGAATTTTTTACAATTCCTGAGCGTTTTATTTATACATACGATACTGCACTGAGCCAACTATTCAGTACCGTATTCAGTACAATGTTGTAAATATTTTATCCGGGGACCTCGGGTTGGTTGGATGGATGGATGTATGTGTGACCCGGGCTCTTCTTCGGAAGATGAGGACCCGATGATCGGTATCCCGAGAGTTTAAAAAGAAAAAGAAAAAAAAAAAAGAGGATGCGAAACAATAACGAGTATAGAGCAGCCAGAGGAGCGACGGGGCATGAATAATTTTTCTCACACCGGGATTCGGGTTGCGGAAAGCCGGGCCACTCATTCACGCCAACGCGGGTTCTCGTCGCTATTCATAGCCCTAGGGCGGCGGCGGCGGCGAAGAGAGATCCCCATTCAATCACGTCGTCCCGG